ATTCCCTCCACACCATTTATTTTGGATAGATGTTCAAATTTGATCTCATCTGACCACATCTCGTCGTTCCATATTGTTGCTGCATCTACCTAAACGATGGGTGAAAAAAAAAAAAATGGAACCACCCACAACCTTTCAATACTTTTACAGTCATGCCACTTTTCCTTTAACAACAGATTTATGTAGTGCAAAAATATCATTTTTAGATTTTATAGTCCCACATGAGCTGGAAATCTCTAAAGCTTCTCTAAAGTTTCCATTATCTTCTTGGTTGCTGGTCTAACCGATGCTGTCCTTACTAGGTTTTTGCAGGTTTGTAGGGGTGTCATAATTTCAGAAATGGATTTCCCCCCAGCCACTCTTCCATAAAGTCCAGATGTCTGGAAATCATGGTTAAAAGCAGTCCGGTTAGCATATTTTCCAAGACCTTATAGGATCTTAGCAGTTGCTTCAGTGATACCATGATCCTCCTGTTTGACTCTCAGATGAATGCTCTCCTTCTCCTTCCTGTCAGTTTAGATGCACAGCAATATCTTGGAAAGTCTGAAGAGAAAAAGTAGATTTTCATACTTCAACACAGCTAAAGAAGTAGGATTTTTTTCTCCACACCTTTCAGATGTGTTCCTTGCTCTCCATGGGGAAGCTTGCTCAGTAAAGTTCTGTTTGATAACTCTAAAGACTCCACAGATCATGGGGAGTCGTGGCCTAGTGGTTATAAAATTACGCTTGGAATCCAGAGGTTCCACTCTGACTCCCTGAGCAATGACCCTTAACCCCACACTGCTCCCTGGGCGCTGCACAATTGCAGCCCACTGCTCCCCAAGGGGATTGGTTAAAAGCAGTGAATGAATTTTGTTGCTCTGTACTTGTGACAATGTATGACAATAAAAGCTGAAAAAAGACAAACAAAATAAAACAAAACAAAAAGATCTGAAGGACTTATACTGAGATTAAAATACACACAAGTGGACCAGCAAGGTAACATTTGATGGTACTGGGTTAAATTTTATTTAGATGCATCCGACAAGAGTGGTTAGAACAGAATTGCACAAATATTTGGGGAATTTATAGTATATATATATATATATATATATATATATATATATATATATATATACACACACACACACGTAAACCATGTGTCTCTCTTCTCTAATCTACTATTGTCCATTATTCATGTAAATCCAACAATCTACAGTAAGTTTGATGTTTGATGGTATTAATGTAACAAAAAGTTAACCTTTTCAGATAATACTGTTGTAAAGCTCCGTAAACATAACAATAATGAAATCATAATCAATCATTTTCATTTTTAATGGTTTTGTTCAAGTAATGTGTAAATAGCACATTGCGGAAAGTTCTGAGACAATAAAATATCAACTGTTAGATTCAGAAATTCTAAAGGTTATTTATTACATTGTTTGGAGGGAGTAGCTGAAAAGTGCAGCTTTACAACAGCCTTTTATGATATTGTTTTTCTTTTGTTGTTTGTTTGTTTTTTTACCTCTGAGGAACTCACCTCTTGTTAGAGTTCTGCTTGAGTAAGACAAGGGTGACACCTGGTGGTAGAGCATGGACCTACAGCGAGTGTTTTAGTAAAGACCTGTTCTAATGAAAAAATAACTAAAAAATAAAGTCCAAAGCACAAATTACTATGAAGATTGAAGCTTTTTTATATATTTAGTTGTTACTTTAAGATTCCAAAGTGTAACACTCGCCCCTTGAATAAAGTCAAGGTACAGCAAGCATTGATCTGGAGCATTTTAAAAGATTACTAGGAACTCTGACTCCTTGGCTAGAAAATCTCACTAAAACATTAGAAATAGTTTTTAACAAACACTTTGCTTAAAACTTTGCTCTGTTACAAGCTATTACTTACTGGTAAACGTGAATATTAAGCATTAAATCAGATCTACTAAAGGACAGAAAGGCAAAGATGGCAAAGTTTGATACTTTGAGTTAAAATTTTTTACTGTATTTTTCAGTATAAATCAATGTGACTGTATTTTAAAATGAATATTTCTCATCCTGAGCAAGAAGCTTTGAAAAAAAAAAACTGGTTAAGCACTAGCATGGTTATATAAAAGAGACAAAAAAAGGCTCCATGAAGCTGGAAAAAAAAAATTAGACTAGAGCAAGAGTCTGGCTGCAGAACTGCACTGTCAGGACCTAGACCTGCATTGTCTGGAGTCTGGACCCTTCATTGCAGAGCTGCAAAATGGGGTCTCCTGCACTCTCAGGACTGGAAGTTTATTTCCTAAGTTATATTCGAAGCCCTCAGGAATAGCACGCAGCATGTATTTGCTGCTGGAGTTAATGACAGTGTTAACTGAGCATAGGAGCAGTTTAAATTATACAATAAGCAAAAATCCTCATATGGCAGCCAACCTCCATTGTCGTTTAGAAAATGTCTTTTAGACCAAATTCCCTTTTCCATCCAGTGATTTAAATATAGAGACTTATTTATATATAGCACATATCTATTATTCCAGATAGGAGTTTGGTGGGGAGTAAAATTGTGCGTGTACATTAGTTACCAGCGTAACAACACTCTTTTGTGAAAGGAAGCAAGCTTCACTGGGAGTTTATCAACTCTAGCTTTTAATTTAGAAAGGCTTCAAATCAACTTTGTTTTTACTTTGAAAGTATTTGAATAAAATTCTGGTTCTAACAGTGCAGGAGACCTCACAGTGCAGGTCAGCAGACAGGGTTCTAAGTGCAGCTCTGAGTCCTGACAGTGCGGCTCTGCAGCCAGACGCATTTTGACTAGAGAGGAATAATATGTAAGGTTGTTAATAATGAAAAATGTGGTACATTACATTTCCCCAGTCTAGTCTAACCAGAAGTGTATTGCCATTTGTATAAACCTTTAAAAAGCCTGAAGTTCCATGTTATGTACATTTTTTAAAGGTTTGGGGAAATATATTCTTTTAATTACCGTCTTTTTTTTCTTCTTTTTACAAAGGAGACTATAACACTTCCACTAACAGATTATTATTATAGTTGATTAGATTATGTTTAATAGGTCAAAAAAATAGGCATACAATTTGTCAAAAAGTTCTGATAAATATTAATTTCTAACCCTGTAAATTAATTGTTTTTATCAATAGTTATTCAAAATAAAGTATAAAATAAAATTAAAAGTAATTAAGCTAATAAAGCTGTTTCAAAAGATAACGTTCAGAGAGGAGGCTAAATAAACCTGCCTTAGCAGACAGTGCTACAGCCTATACTGTAAGGTGAAAACTCCTCAGCCTCTACAGTTAATGTTCAGGTAATCACACACTCACACAAAACAAAGCTGCTCTTATTGCTTTTTTTATTGTCTACAAGGATTCTCAGCAAACAGACCAACACTTGTGCCAAAATCCAAAAAGGGGACCTGAAAATCAATTCTATCACACATATTAACAGGTTGATTTAAAAAAAAACAAAAAAAAAACGCCAAAGCAAGCCCCACCTCAGCTCCAGTTTCCACAGCAACCAAACAAGTCACTGCTTAGCATCCAAAGGTAACTAAATTACAATTGTGGTTCCTTCATCTTGGCACAAAACAACAGTAGCAGATATGCAGGCGAGGGGCAAAAGAAAATAAAAAAAAGTCATCATTTGAATATATTTAAAGCTGCTTTGAGACCAGATGTCAGGGAAATGTCCAAAATGCATCTTTGTCAACAACAAAGTAAAAGACGGTGGACTAAACCATGAGGTACACCAGAAATAGAGACAGCAGCTAAAAAAACAAGATCCATGTTTTTAGTTCAAGGCTACAATTTCAGATGAAACGATTAAAACAAGCTAGAACCACCAGGAAACTATTTCACTATTCTAAGTTCATTTAATAATAATTTGTTTTTGACTGAACCCTTTAGTCACAGAATTGCCTGGTTTTCAAATCACATTAGCACACAAATGGCAAAATGTGAGAGATTATACTAAAGGAAAAAAAAGGTTTTGTTATGTGGAAACTACATAGAATATGACACCAAACAGAAGAATGAACTCAGCCTCACTTAAAGTATAGTGGAGGATTTTGACGAAATTTTGAAAAGACCCACCATAACCCCGTGCACATGCACAACCCTGTGCCTGCTGATGAGAGGGAACACTTATTAAACATGTGCGAGAGCATGCACCAGCCCATTGTTTTCATCGTGCACGCTCTGTTTAGAGGTTGCTGTTTGCATCGCTAATACAAGCTTACTTTCCAAAAGAAGATTTGTACTTTTTCCACTATATCAGACTCACCATAGGTAGGTAAAAATGGCGACGAGCACGTGGGACGGCCTTACGTAAACTTATCACCAGAATGATTGACAATAAGGAGGACCACTTATTTTGATGATCCACCTGAAAAAAGAACATTCTCCACTATAACTTGGAATTAGCCTTTCTCTCTCTGAACAGTATCTTTCATACCTTTTACTTTTCCTACAAAATTGTCTGTTTCTTATTTAATATTTCTAACAAAAGACACTGAGAAGAGACATCATAACATCTGAGACCACAGGAAGGTTGAACTATAGATTTTTGTTACAGATGTCATAATTTTTAAACAAAAACTGCTTGCTTGAAGCTTGAAATTTAGTTTTTTGTGACATAGAAATATTTGGTGTAATCCTCCTACTTACTGAGAGGAGGAATTTGAAGTAGTGACTTCTAATATAAGTCTTAAATTTCCTATTTCTCTGATCTTACTCAGCAGCTACATTTTTTTTAAACTTTAATCCAACATTAGAGACAGCTTTAATCTTCATAAAACCAACAGAAGGTTGACAAAAACGTAAAAAATAGAATAGATTACTGTAGTTCAAATAATGACTGATTTGAATTTAGAGACAAATCCCGGACATCTGGTCCCATGCAGATTATTATAGAGACAAAAATAACAGAGATTAAGAACAAAATAAAAGGAGAGCGAAAAAAGAAGTTTCTGTCCAGCTGCTTTTATCCCCCCATTTTCAGTCTGAGCGGGACAGCAAGGCCAAACTTTAGTTTGAAAATTAAGAGTTTAAAACCAGGAAAGGTAAGGCATCCCACCCTGGGACAGAAACTATTTTTTTAGTCCTTTGGAGAAACTTCAACATATCAAATTTATTGCATTTCTAAACTCTTTTTAGAAAAAAAAAAATGAAAAAATATCTACAGTATATTTATCTAAAGTGGTGTTTTTGCTTGTGTAAATATATAAGTGGTAGATATTTATAATGAATCTTGATGGTGAGGCTGCAGTTCATCCACAAGGAGGCAGAAGAAGCATAGAATTGCACTAGGACAGAAAAAAGCTGTTTAATATTGAACTCAGTTTTAAAATCATACAAAAGGAGTGAAAAAGGGGAAATTAAGGCGCCACAGACTTGTTTGAAGGACTTTCAGTTCAGATACATCAGAATAAATAACTTTTTCCTCCATGAAGGTGAATTCTAAATACATGATTAACTGAGCTGCAGAGGTGAATATGTTCAGGTATGAAGAGAGGAGAGAAAAGATAAACATGGCAGCTGTTCTGATCCGCTGGATTTGTTTTTTTTTTTGTTTTTTTTCTCAGATGTTATTAAAGCACTACAAACTAACGGTGCGCGCCGCCGGCCGCACGCTCAGCTTCATTGTCTCTAATGCAGCAGTGCGCTACGTGGAACTAACCATGTACACAAACAAAAACCCCTCGATGCCGGCTAAAACATCTGCATAGCGACAAAACAAAAAAAAAAAGAATAAAAAAATTAATCCCAAAATAAATAATCACAGAAACAGATCAGATCTGAGCCTTTTCAACTCAAACGGTGGCTACTGCTTCCTCTAAAAGATTATATTGAAAGAGTTTTAATGCAAGATTTTTGTTATTACTTTTTTTGTTGGTTTGCGATTTTTTTTTTTTAGAAAAAAAGAAAAGAAAAAAAAAAGAAATGTGTTTTCTTCTTGAAGCTCGGTCTCTACTTCCTCCGGGTACAGCGATGATGTCAGAGCAGCGGGTTAGTCGTCGTCTTCGTCGACTACAGGATCCGTGTCCCAGCAGGTGATGTCAATCTCTAAACCAACACAAACAAACGAGGCGGGTTTCATTCTCTACAGAGTAAAACGTTTTAATAGAATAAACTAACTTCCATTCATCCAATCACCATAAATAAACACTAGCTCAGAGTAACACTAACACTTCTGTAAAGTTAGCTATAAACCCGCCCAGTGTAAATGTTGTAAAGAGGAAAAGATTGATCAAACCTGGAGGCTTGTTATAAAACACAGGTGCTGGCTTAGCTGATGACTCCTCTGATTGGCCGAATTCTTCCTCCTGTGATTGGCTGAAGTAGCCCTCACTGGCCTAGAACCAGAGAGGAGGAAACACCAAAGATAATCAAACCAAACCTTAAAAAAACTTTGAAAATCATCAGCAGTTTGAACTCGTCTGACCTGAGTTCCTTCCTTCAGCAGCGTCTCCCCATTGGTCATCAGTAGCTGTACGTCATCTGGATCCTGCCCCGCCCCGGAGGCGTGCTGCAGTGCGTGTTGGTAGCTGAGGGTCATCTGGTCAGACCCCGACACGTCCACCAGACTGGTGGGGTCGTCCTCGGCGCCGGTGCCTGAGCAGAAGCTCCCGTCCATCATCTCATCGAAGCTGAGAAGAGGCTGAGGCCTGCCGCTGCCGGCGGCCATGCTTGGCGCGACATCATCATGAAGAACATCGCTGTCTCCCATCAGGTCCACCAGATTAGACGAGTGGGTGGATGGGATGGGGTCGGTGGCAGGGGCGGAGCTGCTATCCCACAGGTCAACAAGGTTGTCCGTCCCGGAGTCCCACGCAGAAACACCAGAGGGTTCCCGGGCCTGTGGTGCAACACTCTGCACAGGCTTGGTGGGCGCCGACTCCTGGACGGGCCGTTTCTGTTCTTCTTTTGGTACAGAATCTGAAAAAAAAAAGACAAATGTGAAAACAAATTATCTTCGGGTCAGTTTTTTTTTATTTTCACTCTTTTAGTGTGAATAAAACATTTTAAATTTAGGAAACCAAAAGAAATTGGAACTATGAAACATTAATAATTTAGAACACATCCTTCCCTTTGTCTTTTAATGTGGATGAGTAATTTGAATAGAATTAAAATCCTCCTTCTCACACATAAAGCCTTAAATTGTCAAGCTCCATCTTACATCAGAGATATGATTAATCCTTATGTTTCTCACAGAGAACTTTGTTCTTAATCTGCAGGTTTACAACATGTAGCTGTTCCTAGAATTTCTAAAGTAGAATAGGAGGCAGATCTTTTAGTCATCAGGCTCCTCCCCTGTGAAACCAACTACCAGTTTCAGTCCATGAGGCAGACATCCTCTCTACATTTAACGGTAGGCTTAAACCTGTTTGATAAAGCTTATAGAGTGCTTAGGTTATCCTGAGCTATCTCTATAGTAATGCTGCTATAGACTTAGACTGCTGGAGGACATAGGGACTACTTTTCATCATTCTACTCAATTTTCTCCCATTCTGAAGTATTTGTTATTTCAACCTCTTTTATGCTCTCTCTGCTTTTTGTCAAAGCAGCTTAATCTGGTCTTTTCCTTTTTGACTGTGGCACCATCAAGGAGAGAAAATATCAGCTGTGCTGCTGTCATCAACAACTTCGTTTATAGATGCTGGAATCTGGCCTGTTTTTCAGTGTAGTCCTGTTTCTCTTACTCAATGAGTCGATAGCAATCAATTGGTTTTTCCACAGACAAAACTTTGAACCAATATGACTGTGTGATCCTGTTCAAATGTCTCTGCAAAGTAGCTTGAGAAGACATGTGTTGTGAACTGGTGCTATATAAATAAGCTAAATAGAGCTGATTTGTGGAAAAAGCAGAAAAAGCTTTGCTACAGGTTTCCAACAAAAGGAGACACTTGATGGAAGCAGTTAACAGTCAGTGTTAGGCTCTGCTTGTTTTTTGATCGTTCTAGAATTAGCAATGCTAACTTTCTGGTAAGCTTTGCCAAACTGAGTTTCTACCAATGAATAATTTAGCTTCCCACAGGGTTTCCCTGACTATACTACATTGGTTGGAGACTTTATTATGCACCAATATTGTATTATCTGAGCAAGGGGAATGAAATTCTTACCCCACTCTTCCTCTCTGTGGTCTTCCTCCTCCCTGTTAAAGTCTTCTTTAATTGGTGTAGTGACTATTTTAGGGATGGGTGAAACAGCGGCCATGTTTCTGTCTAAGCTCACTTCATCATCATTGTCACCTGCAGGAAAAAAGTGGATAAAAAATGGCAGGAAAACAAAGTTAATTAGATTATATACGACACATAAACAAAAGGTGTTGAACTAACACAGACAATGCCTCCTATACACCTTCACGTATATAAAAAATGAGAAGGATATTATCTTAGGCTGCAATTATCCTTGACATGAGGTATGATGTGGAATGTAAAGCAAATCAACCGATACATAAAACTCACAGATGATAAAAACAGAGCATTTTAAAGATGCCATGATTATTTCCCCTGAAAATTCATACATTTTCAATTCAGGGTTCAAATGAATTTGTTACTGGGATGGTTTAAACACAGAGAACCATCATAAAGGGTTCAGTAGTGCCGCTTTAGAACATTGAGTCAGCCATAAAAGGGGTTTAGCTTCAATTTTTCAACAATTCTTCAACAGTGGGACAAGATGTGATTCAACTTCAATGATAGAGCATCACCAATTTAGGGTAAAGATCTATGGTACTATTTCTTAGCCTCTGAAAAAGATAGTGTTAATCTTTTTTGGGAAAATTGCAGCTTTTGTTGCTTCATTTAGAACAAAATCTAGGCAAGAATCCACAAGTTAAAGGACTCAAAGCTTTGGTGTATATTCCCAGCCATCTGAGAGATGACGATTCTCTATGTGCTAAACCAGAAGACAGCTAATTTCTTCTTATGTTTCATCTCTCATTGTCAGTTCTGAACAAGGCTGGTGTTTTTGAAAAGAAGAGTGAAGGAAGAAATCTCTTTAAGCCTGAAAAACTAAAACTACAGTGACTTTTATTTGCAGTGCAGCCTGTACTCAACTCTCTAGCACTTTTACAGCCCTGTACCTCTTGAGACGCAGAGTCAGAATGGAACCAAATGGACCAGTGATAAAAGGAATTTGATAAACCTTAAAGACGTAGGGAAGCGGCTGTTCCAACTGTTGCATTTCCGAATTCTCCCGAGTGGTGCTCGACTTTACAGTACATGAGTGAACAAAGTGAATGTGATTGGTCGATTATCAAGGGGACGGGATTGTTGTGGTGGAAGGTTCGCAAGCCTTTTGGTTGTGGCCGGTGTCTCGTAAAATTCTAACCAGCTAACCTGTTAGCAACTTAGTGCTAAAAGGTTCCTTATGGGAAATTACATTCGGACCAAGTAGCACTTAGCAACAACACTGTCAAGGAACGCTATGGACAGCGGAAACATGCAAGAGGAGGAGAGTTTTGTGTTTAAGCCTATGATTGGGCCAATGTTTTTATGTTTTTGTTGTGAAAATAAAAGAATAAAAAAAAAAAATAAAAAAAATAATGACTGGCTAATTTGCAGTAAAATATGTATAAAAACAAAACACTTAAGACTCTTTAATCATCTTTACCTTTAATGTTTAAACCTAGCATGAACATATTACTAGATGGAGAATCATCACTGTAACTTATAAGGCTGATAACTATAGTTCAGACTTGAGGATCCCCTTTGGAGAACTGACTTGGTTAGATGAATAACGTAATCATAATCCACTCCACCTTAAAAAAAAGTAATCTGTTTCACCAGCATACCAAGGAACGCACACATTTTAGAGTTTGTACAAATAAGACTTTTCCAGTGATGTGATTGGTAAACTGGATGGAAGCCTAGATGAATAGATACAGATATTGGACAGCACTGACGGCATGAGGAAACACCAGTACATTTCCTGAACTCAGTTTCTTTTTACATGCATATTTTTTTCCAGGCCACTGACATCAACATTACCACAGTACAAACTATCACATTCACATTAAATCCACAGAAATGTATCCACTCATGTCAGATAGACGCTGATGTCTCCTTAAAATAATTTCAACACAAGAAACCTGAAATGTAAGATTATAATAAAATGGCAGAAAATATTCTTTTCCCTTTTTCTATCAAAAACTAATCTCTACAGATCATTCTAATTACCTTCTTTAATTAATTTACCTTTCATAAACACATCTGTTTTCACCTGGCAAATTAGCTGCCATTTTATTAACTACATCATTGTTGGCCACTTCCCATTAGGAGGGAAAATGTTGCAGAACACACAAACACTTAAGTGTGAAAAGTTTAAAGGTAGGTAATGTTTGGTTAATCCACCTTGAGGAACACATTACTATTTGGAAAGTGGTCAACAGAAATGTTCTAGTTATAATAGGTTGGATAAGACACAAAGCTATCAATGCTGTGGTCTTTATGTTGACATTCACAAAAAAACTGGATGAACCTCCAAACAAATCCACCAAGTCCACCGTCAACAAGCTGCAGACAACTAACAAGATGAGTTAAAATAAAGACTCACAGGTCGGTTGGTCGGTCGGGGTAAAAGGCAGCAGCAGGAATGGGTTTTAGAGAGCATGTTAGCAGAAAGGTAAGGCAGTCCGCAATCAGCAGCGCAAAATTAAAACAAAAGAAAATGTTCAGAAAGTGAATCAAAGTTGCAAGAAACATTTATAAAATAACTTCACATTAGACCTGACCACATTAAAAGCATGACGGCGACAGCCACTGGAACACGAAAAAAACACAGAGCTGGAGGTTAATGGCTCTAAAGGACGACTTGCCTTTACCTGGACTGTCCAGTTATAGACGTACTACCTCCCAGTACTTCGTCTGCCGTTATCACACATACAAGCACTAAATACTTTCTAAAGGTTAAAATTCATTATCACATCAAAGCTACTTTAAGGACACATGACTCCTGTTTACAGTAAAAATTCGGCCCCTGTTGTTCAGTCAGAGCAAAGTATTTGTGGCTTTGAAGTGACTGTTAATAATAATCTGTTGTTGGTCCTTTTATTTCTAATCTATAGACCCTCGCCTGTAAAATATTCTAAAAATCCAACTTTAAAATATTTAATTTCTGCAGGATACCATTAACATATTTTGGTGCCATTTGGGCCAAAATAAGCCAATGGAATCATAAAAAATGCTGTTAAACACTAATTTATGCACGCATTAATTCAACTAATCAAAACTGAAATTAGACTTACTGGTAGAAATTAGACAAATGTATAATTTTAGCTCCTAAAATCTAAGACAGCTGCACTATTACCTTAGAGGTCTTGAAAGCTTTATAATAATTTTAGTCATTCTTGAAGAGAAGAAGAAATATTAGTTATCAGTAGTCAAAACAGGATGTGGGTATCTATTTTATCAGAAAATACTTCCTGCATCTAGCCAAGTTAAATGACTTCTAAAAGCAAATATGAATGAAAGTGTGGCTATTTGATGAATAAATTGTGTGGTAATTTATGCTTTACATTGTAATAAAGAGTGATATTCTCCCTAATTAAAAAAATACGACATGTCGACCTGCATCAAATGGCATAGCTGGTGACAAAATCGATCTGTTAGCAGGTCGCAAAAAGCCCCGGGCTCCATTTTGGACACATTGATTTAAATGCCAGGGCTGTCAACTCTCCCCCATTGGGAGTGAGACTCCTGCATCTCAGTGTCTTCACACACTCTCACTCCATATCTTCAATTTTTTAAAATAATGACATTAAAACTCAACTCCACTCCACTTATTTATTTATAAAAATACCATGCCTATAAAAATCCATGGAAGACGTGCCAGGTTTATACCCAGTCCGTATTTTTGCACCACCTATTCATAGTGGTGACAGCAGCAGAGCTGGACATGAGCCAGATAATGAAAAAAGACCAGGATTTTCTTAGCAGTTATTTAGAGGAACTTATCTGAACAAAAATCACTCACTTTGTAAATTAATGAAGATTTGAAGCAAAGCACTTCAGTAAATATGAATAAAATACACAGCAGCTGGCTTGAATTATCAATGTGGAGACTGAGTGTAGATCACATCAAATGGTTTGTTTTCTCTACATCTAGTGCTTTTTTTAGTTCACTTTATCCTTATTTATTTAGCCACCTGATTTACTTCTAGTTTTAGTCCATGTTTTGCTCACAAGATAAATAATTATTGCTCAGTCTAGTTGAATAATCTCCCATTGGATTTTAGGACTAATTAAACCAACACAAATATCTAATGTTTTCAGGTTTGCCTCACAAACCCATAGGATGTATACTAAAGAAAATAATTGCATCAGAGAGGATGTGCAGAACAGCTCAGTTATCATGGATTCATAGAGGAGGAAACAGGGATGTTCTTATCTTATTATTACTTATCTTATTCATTTATCCTTATTTTGGTCCATTAAATGTTTGAAAACTTAATTTCCATCACATCCACCAAAATGAAACATCCACAGAAATGTTGTCTTGTGTCAGGGAGAGTTTTTATAGAATCTACAGTCTCCTAGAAGGTCTGAATTGTAAATTGTAAAAATCTAATAAGATAATGAATTAAGATTTTTCATCCTTAGCCTATTTCCAAATATTAATACACGGTGTAGTTTGCACGGGATTTGATTGCACTGGTTTCTTTATCAGTGCCAGTATTACAGTAATAATAACTCATTTGTTTCCCATTATTTATTTTACTTGAGCTGCATGTAATTATGAATAAACCCAGTTGTGAAATTTTTTGTTTACAGTAGATGCAAGAATTTTAGTCTGACCAATACTTTTACTTCAATTCTCTGAAAATCACCAGAATATAGAAATAATGTATATTGTGGGGAAATGTTCCACATAACTACGGATCACTTATTGTTATTCAGCAACATTTGCTGCGCTTTAAAAAAACTTGACATTTTGCCTCTTAGTTTCAGTTAAATCCTCTGAAAACCTACAACCTATAGCTGTACCGTTCCTCAGAGCCTTTCAATCTAACCCTGACAAACTATAGCCTGTCCAAACTATTTCAAAATCTCACTCCAAGGTGGGTAAAAAGTTTGCAGCCCTGAAATACTGTACGTTTTGGAAGGAAGTGTCACTGTAGCCCCATCCTGGAAGCACGATCCGTACCATCAGCTCATTTGCACATGGAGGAGCTGAGGTTCTTTTTTTTACGTCCTTTTTATATTTCCTGCTCTGTACCTACCGGTTGCAGCGGGGGGCTGCTTCCGTGCATGTGGTGGGGTGCGGAGGGGCGACACGCCCCGGGGAGGAGTAGTTCTACTGGGGCTGCTGGGACTGTGCTGCTGCTTCAAGAAGGGGCTGTCCAAACGGCCTAGTGGTCAGGACGCCATACAGCGACCACACATGGTCCAACACGAGGACGCAGACAACAATACACGGACATAAAGCCACACAACACAACAGACAGGTGTGACGAGACAAAAAGATGGCGGACAGGAAGGAGGAGACGTCACAGGTTTATCAGGGTGTGTTAGAACCCAGCAAGAAGGGAAATTAGAGGAGAAGTTAAAATCAGAAAGATGGTGGAGAAGGAGGTAGGAAAAAAGGAGAAAAAGAAAGAAAAGCAATTAGTGTAATTTGTAAAAAAGCTGACAGCAAGCAGTTAGGCAAAGCAGGAACGTTTGGCCGCTTCTTTAGAGAGATCAGTGTTTAATTCTACATTTTGGTGATCCGAGCCAACAAACCATATCCCCTTTAGTGGAATAAAGCCTTCCCAGCATAGAGAAGAGGCTCCGCAACACTGCAGTTATAGAGAAGCAGAGATTGCTGATGGGTAGAACAGCTGCAAAGCTGGATCTGACTTTGCATCTCTATAAATCAGAATATCACAATGAACATGATTTATTTCTGTAATTCAGTTTACTGTCATTTTAAACAGTGATATATTTCAAATATTTCTTTAAGTTTTTTTTTTCATGTTGGAACCCAATAAACTACATGTTTATTACAATGGATTATAGTAAAGAAAACTCTCCAGATTTAGAATATCAAACTTGATCCATTTAAAAAGATTTATATACAGAAAAAGGTGCATACTAAAAAGCACACCTACAGTAAAGTTCGGTTGAGCCTCAGTTTGAAGTAATCACTGCATCACTGCAGCGTCACATGAAGACGACGTGCAGCTGAAATAATTGAAAAATAACTCACATTTATCTGATCTTAATGGAATCTTTTGGTTTGAGTGAAAAGGCGGGACATAAAGAGCAATAACTATGACAGCTGTTACTATGATTTATTTGTGAGTACAGAAAAAAATACAACACAGCTAAATGTTCGTCTAAAAAGGTGAAAAACACCTAAAAATCATTTTAATAACCTTGGAGGCAGCAACTGCAGCAAATTAGAGCTAAATCAGATGAAAAATATTTGATCAAAAGGTGCTTCTTTCACCTCATAAAAGGGAATCTGGTCTCATAAACGTTGATTTCCGTTCTACGACTCCTGCCAAACTGCTGATTATATTCAGAGTCAATGTAATGACCAAAAGCTGTGTGTCCAAAACTGAGCTTATAAAAGTGAGCCTGACTTTGATCAGCTCAGTTATCTATGCAAACGGCATCACTTGAACATTTTTTATATGTTTTTGGAGAGGTACCATTTTCTAGTTTCCAAGGATACCACCCATGAGGGGCGGAGCAACAACATCAGTCATCCATGGCACCTTTAAAGTGCTGTAAAATCAACATTTATGAAAAACTATTTTAGCGACTTGTTTTAAAAACATAAAAGCCTTTTTTCTTGAGGAATCTAGAAAACATTGGACTATATTTAATCTATTTTTACAAAAGGCTAAAAATGACGGTCGGCCTCATGGTCTAGTACCTGGACAAATCCCCAGTTTAGGATTTCTTAAAACAATACCCTGTGAGTCTGACCCGCATGGTCAGTGATTCTCTGCTGGGAGGTTGTGAAGTTCCTCCAATAAAAAAGACTTCTGCAATCATCTAATTTTGAATAAAACCATTATCTGCTCCCTTGTAGCTAAAAGGTTTTGGGTTCTAATCCCGGCCTGAATCTCTATGTTAGTTTGCATGTTCTCCATGTGCACACGTAAGTTCTTCCCAGGTACTCCAACTTCTTCCCTCAGTCCATACTCATGAGATTCAGGTTATTTGGATTCTCTGACTGTCCTTAGATAAAACCATGTGCATGGTTGTGTGTCTGAGATAGACCAAGGTGTCCCCCCCCCCCTTTATAAACACAGGAGATATGATCCCTGTTGGGACTGAATTACTGAAATAAACTAACATTTGAGTGATATTCTGCCCTCGATGGATATTAAAATCTGCAACGAATGAAAAGCAGAAGCTTTGTTTGCCTCAGCACTTTGTCAGAGGTTTAGAGACAAAAAAAAGTTTCAAAAAAAGTATCAAACTAGGGAATCTGAGAACAAAAAACGTGTAAATCACCCAAACAAACAGCGTTTACTTTTCACCATTTGTGTCCTCGGAGGAGGCAGGCTTTGTGGGGTTTTTATTTATTTTTTCTCCCAAAATGAGAGAAAATCTCTTAAAAACAATTTGAGAAAATCCTGAAGAAGCCTCCATCAAGGCCTCTTTCAATGAATACAAGACGACCTCGCTTTATGGGGGTAAATATATATAAATGAAGGAGCCCAAAATGTCTACCTGTCCTGTGGATGGAGACGGGGGAGGTGTCGACGCTAATGGTCATTGCTCGCTCCTTCTGCTTGAAAAACTCTCGAGGGTTTCCAGATCGCTGGGCGATGATGGCCTTCGCTTCCTGGTAGATTAAACATTAAATAAATAACTTTTTTTTCTTTACAGCCAGGAAAAAAAAAACCTGATGCATAATATTTCCATGGATACAAACAGCCTGCTAATAGTGTTCTATAGAAATCCAAGAGCTTTAAAGTACAGCAGTGAAGTTTGATTGGTTTTTGTTTTTTAGTTGCTTTAACATTTCATCTTCTTTTGATTAGATTTGCTGCTGTAATTTGCGAGCTCATGTTTTTCATCGAACTGACCTCTACCTCAGACTCCTTCTTGTCCAGGTTCAGGTCCTCGATGCTCGGCTCAGACGCCTAAAAAAGGACAAAAGAATCATGCAGATCTATAATCAAAAGTGAAATACAAAGACAAGGACATGTGCACACCACCACCAGTAGAGGGCAGCAGATAGCAAGGATTATTTTTAAGTGAAAAAAAAAACAGAATAATCCATAAAGGCATGAAAAGACAAAAGATTTGCCTCTGAAGCAACTCTTCAATAAATACGTCAGTAACGTATCCATGTTTGGGCAAAATTAATCATGTTTAAGAAACAAAGGAAATTGTTTATAACACAAATACATAAAACTTAATAAGGGTCAAAATAATAATCAGGTTTCAGTAAGAAATGTTTGATTTAAAATAAACAAAAAACAACATAAAAAAGGCAGAGCTCAGTTTGAATATTTACTGTTTATAGAAGCTGTTTGGCAGATTTTCAATGTAAAATTTTCACCAGTACATTTGTTTTTTTTAAATTACTGGTATTATTCTTTCATATGCTTTTTAACTTTTGTTTGAAACACTTTATTAAAAGTTTTTGGTTTATAATTTTTTTCAGAATATCTATCTTATTTTGTTATTGTTTATCTGTTGAGATATCTTCATAAACTGCAACAATCTCATTTTTTTTATCTATTCATACCATTAAAATAAAAGATTCTTACTTGTAAATTGTGATTTGATTCAGATTTGTTTAATGCATATTTACATTTTTCACATTTGTTTAAACAAACATTATACCACTAATTACTCTTTATATTGGATGACAGCAACTTTCAAGCCAAGATCAGACATGGGTTTGACATATTTAACACATCTTTCTATTTGAATGACCGAGACAAGCAGCGTCTGATCACATAGCAAACAAATACAGAAATTGATTTAAGTTATGCTTATAAACCTATGAAATTGTTTGCTTTAGCAGAAGGTTGGAACACTTACTATAGTGGTCTGGTTGCGCAGCCTCTCTCTGGCCTCCTCCTCCTCCTGCATCTTCTTCCTAAAAACACATCAGATAAAAACATATATAAATTAAAATACCTACAGATCGATGTAAAGATGATTCGTAGCTCATTTCTACACAGTTAAATTTGTAAAACATATGTAAAGAAAAGGAAACTCCAAGTAAAAATACATTTTTTGATTCAGACCTTAAATGATGATGTGATGTCATGACTTGTGGGAGATTAGTTCAAACTCCGGATTTTCTTAATTTCTAAAGATTTTCTCAGTGTTTATCAGGAAGGTCTGATTAAATATTCCTTAAATCCCTTTGAAGCAATATTCCCTGATGCAGAGTTTTCTGGTTAGTATCTGTGTTGTATAGAGGATGCTAGCTGGATGCCCACCTGTGCTCCTCGATCTGCCTCTCTCTCTCGCGGTACCTCCTCTCTCGGTTCTCCTGCTCCTGCCTTTCCAGCTCCATGCGCTCCTCTTCGAAGCGCTGACGCTCCTCCATGGCCTTCTTTCGCTCCTCCTCCTTCCTCATCTCCTCTTCACGCTGGAGAGTCAAACAAATAGGTTAAAAAAAACCCTGAATGCTAGATTGAGATCTAGGCTGATTTTTATTTGACGTGGGCGTTTTTTTTAGGCTGCGTTTGGGCTGGAGACAATAGAGCAGATCTGGCAACCCTGCTTACTTGCAGACTGTCAGTTCCATTAACTTCAAACATATGAGCTTCTATTTTTACCCCTTAATGTAAAAACCAATCTATTTGGCATTATGACTGACTGTTGCATTTTGATAAAAGTGAGGCAACATAAGGACAAAAAACTTTCAAGAGCATAAACAAACACAAATGCTTAAAGAGGTAGGAAAATATTAGGTCAAATCTGTATTTCAAATCTCTGCTTCCAGAGTGCAAATGTTTTGGATAAAAAATCAAAATAAATGACCAGTATTATTAATTATTAAAAAAAAAGTTTTCTTTCATATTTATGACTTCAGAGTCTCTCTATGTGTGTCTTGTTCATTTGAAGGGTAAATCTGTTGAACAACCGGCGGCTCGATGGTTTGTTCCGTCATTCTGTATTTCGTCTGAAGATGCCAGCAGCAAAACAGCCAGAATACTCAACAACAAATGAATTTGTTTTTCATCTCTTTTCAACACCAGCTTCACTGGGATTTACAAGAACCATTCTAGGTTCATCAGGCAAAATAAAACTAGAAAATCCTCATCTACATAACCAGCAGCTGGTTTGCTCTACGAGGTTTTTAAATATGAACCTAATTTCCACAATTCTATAATTTTTTTTACGATTTTTCTGAGTTTGTTTTGCACTTTGCAGTATTTAAACATTTTCAGTCTATTCTCCTTCAAAGGTGTGCAATGTTTTTCAATCTATTTAATTGTTTATTAACTTTTTTAGCATGATCACAGCACCTACCACATTTGAACTTTAACCTTTATAATTAAATTTGAGCTGGCTAATTTGAGCATATCAGCTTAACCTAGCAGCTACTGGTGAACACATGGATTTTCTCTTATGCTGCGTTCACACCGGTTGCGTTCTGGGCATCAAAGCCTCTGGATTACGTGCAAAGTCTATGGGTGAAAGCATTGAGGTGTTGAGCGGCACATTTTGCGTGTTCCTGCATCCGAGCTTTAGGGCATCTGAGCGACACCGGAGTTCAGCAAAGTGAACTTTTGCCACTGGACGCCGGAGCGTCAACCAATCAGAGCTGCGCCAGGAGTTTTTTGGGGGAGACAGACACTACTTGGAAGCTGTCATCGTTTCTGCAGATATTCTGCATATGAAAAATAAACAAAAATCTTGTGAGGTCAACTTCAATGGCTAAAAAAAAGCCGGAAGAATGTATTTCTATGTAAAAGGAACAGAGAGCGAGCTCTGATCATTATTGCTGCACTTAAACATTTTTTTTACTATGGTGAAAAGTTTATAAATACCCAAATCAACTTGAAAGGTAAAAACCTGCCGACAAAATATATTTGATTGGATATTCTGATAGTTGTAGTGTTTACATAGCCTGATAAACCAGACTAAATGTGAGATTAAATGTGTAATTTAGTCTGGCCCCGATGAATGAGACATCGGAAGATTGTTGATGAGAACTACACGTTGATTTTCAAACCACTGTCTGTGCCTATTGGCCAAAGCTCTGATCAATGAGCGCAACTGACTGTGATGTAGTAAGCCTTTCAGGAAGCTGGTGAGGGAGTGTAATAAAACAGCCTGTCGGTAAAACGGCGAATACGTCCTTCTTAAAAATGAATGAGCGTAGAGCCTCTTCCTGCTCACGTTTCAATGAAAACCCCAAGTCTAATCTTCCAAAACTGATTCCAAAGCTGAGTCAAACGAGAACTGTTCAATAGTTGTTGCCATTTTCCATTTTTGTGTTTTTTCCAGCGTCGTGCAGCTTTGTTGTCCTGCCATCAAAACCCCGCCCGCTTTGCATCCAAAAATCCAAAACACATCTCTGTGTTGTGATTGGCCCGCCAGTTATAGGGCCTGGGGACTTGATCCAGGCTCATAATCCTGATGAACTGGCTGCACAGAGGATAGCTGGAGGTGGACTTTCTCGCTTAAAAACGTGTTAAAACTATTTATCCAACACATAAAGTAAATAAAGCGAAGCTGCTCTCCTTCTTTAAGCTACAGAACAGAGCAGATAAACAACCAAAGTGCTGACAATCCAGAACATTGAAGCGTCAAAGCAACTTGACCACAGTTTGATTCAGTGTCTGAACCAGCATCCAAGTTTCTGAGTTTGTGCATCTTTGATGCCTATAATGCATTTGGTGTGAACGCAGCATAAGTCACTGGCTTATTCATAAGTTTATCTTTAATTAAAACAGGTTCAGCAGGGAACTTAATACATAGTTAACATATAATTACAATTTTATGCTCTGGTTGTTTAGGCCAATCCTATTAGCTACTCGTAGCTCCTTTGATTTGCTTATCTTTGTATTTACCTACACTGCGGTTAATTTAACTATTTAACAAGATTTAGATCGTTATTTTATCAAATGTAGCACAAAAAACACATTTTTTCAGTCATGTTAACATTTTTAGGTATTTCCATCCTAATATCTTTACCTAAAACTAGTAATAGGCATGTAATTGTTTAATTACAGACCCTAATCCACATTAACTTTCAATAAAATTTGTTTTGCTGTTCAGAAAATACAAACAAAAGCAGTTGATGTAAATTACAATTTACTAAATGGCCTGTTTTTCTAATTATGTAGAGTGGTAATTAGCTCCTGTGCTTAGCTTTTAACCTACTGACAGATTGTTTATTCTGTTACATTACAACTAATTGAGGATTTTATATTCCATTTAGGATCTTGACAGCAAATGTTCAATAAATAAATAATAAATGAATAAAATAACTAACACAAAAGTGATAGTAATTGCTCCGTCTGTTTAGGACACCTTTTTAATTGGCTTTCCATTACATTAACCAACTTAACACCTACTGTTGGAAAACAGTGACTCACTAACTGAGGGAAGTCAACTTATCTCAATAAAAGGGTTCAAAAACAAGCAATGGATCACTTTGCTTGCTCTTCAACGTCCTGTTAGTGGCGACTGTCGTACTGCTTTCTTTATCATCAGCTAAAATACCTCATTTCTCCATTAGCTTTGCTTATCTGGGCCAAAATGGTCTCAGTCAGTGGACTGCAGTTTATGAATAGATTAGCATTTATGGGATACTTCCCAGACTAAGATCAGGCATAAGAATCTTTTTTAATGACCAATGTCTTACTGACTTAAAGTAAAACATGTCTACCGAGTCTGGTCATCATTTACTAATTGGGGCAGTTTACTGTGTATTTGAGATTAAAAGACATATCTCACTAACAGGGGAAAAAATACCTTGCAATCAACTGACAAAGGACTTGATAAGTTAAGTATCCTTTAGTTAAACATGAACTGTACACCAAATCTTCAGGTAACTGCTCTTTGGGAACAACACTGTTTAGGTACATGAAAAGATACTGAAAAAACTGTCATTTTTTTCTTTTATTTTTTTAATATTATCAATTAGGCAAAAAAGGGGGAACATTTCTGACAGAGTGGTTAAAGCGGTCCCACACTGGAAAAAATCAAAATCTAGATAAGTAATTTTTTCTTAAAACAAGTGCATTTGTTCTTGGATTAAGAAAGTAAAAGAAACAACTTGCCAATGGAACAAGACAATTTACACTTAAAATGAGAAAACACAATTGCATTGTTTTATTTCAAGTGCATACTATCTAATTATCTTATCTTAAGAGTAAAAATAATTAACTGGTACAAGAATTCAATTACCTTGGAGTAGTTCTTGACTCTACTTTCACGTTTAAAGGTCACTTAAAAAATCTCTAAAACAATTAAATTCAGTCTTCATATCTTCAGATATATTCATGCCTCAATTAAATTTCAGGAAGCTAGGGTGTTTTTTTTCATGCCATGGTTTTCTCGCACATCGAATATTGTTTTACAGCCCGGTCTCTAACAAATGAAACCGCATTTAAACAAATAAAATCACTATATAAAAAATATTTAAACATAAAAAAAACAGAAAACAAAAAAACACTAAACTGTTTCCTACCATCCTCGCCATAGTCTTGAGACTTACAATCCCCTCAACCTTGAGAATTTTAAATCCTCTAAATTTGCTTGCATGATTTATAAAGTACTCAATGGACTTGCACCACCATCATTAAGGGAATTCATAAAACTGAAATCCTCTTCTGGCAAAGCCACTCAGAAGTACCCTTCAGATGGACCGCCTATGGCCCGACTGTACTTATAGTCAGGCGCTGTAACATCTGCAACAGCATCCCTCTCACTATCAGAACTCAGTTAAAAACCTGGTTACAATTAAATCAACAATGTGCTCATTAGACCTGACCCATCTCCTGGTGCATGACTCAGCTAAATGTCAGGATCGGGTGTTACCTTGTAAATATCTGTACATATTTATGCTAATGTCTGTTTGAACTGTATGACTTTCCCTTGTACGTATGTAGACTCAATTTTTTACATTTTGTATGTTTATTTTATATTCTTTAATAGTTGTTGTTGGCATTACATACCTAGTTAAAAACTAGTTTCACAGCTAGTACTGACACATTTACAGAAATGTTCATTAATGTGTACTGTCACTGACGAACGAATAAATAAATAAATTAAATAAATAACAACCCTAAAGAGCCATTTATATATATATTTTTTAAAGTTCCGTTTTTTTGATAAGCCTAAATGATTCTTAAACCAGTAAAAATTATAAGGCAGAGAACAGAAGCATGGCTCTAAAGATATTACTAATTAAAACAACTTAAAAAAAAAAGAAACAACCTGTAATCAAATGACTGCTGGTTTCAGTGTTAGATTTAAGTCTTCTTGTATGTAAAAAAACAAAAAATTCTATGAAAATTATATAAAATAAAAGCTCAAAATTACTGTAATAAATACCGTAATTTTAATGTAACAAACCATATATATTTGTTTAAATTAAGTATTAAACTCTTTCCCTGTAATTTCTCCTTTGTATTTTCCTCCTCCTCTTCTTGTTTTAGGTGCAGTGTGTACCTTGGCTTGTTCCCAAAACTCCTCTCTATTGATTTTCTTCATCTCCACCTCTGCATTAGTCTTCTGGTACACAGTGCCCTGCAACACAAGTCAAGCACGGATATATTTTTTTAGTTAACCATGTAATCAAGCAAAGTAAATCAACTTTAAATGTCTGTTTTTATCTTTAGCTCTTTATTATATAGAATGAACGCTGCCAACCCCTGCATTTATAGACACTGTTACTGTTTCCTTGCAAATTTGGGAACGGGTGCAGAGTAAGAAAGGAACAAAAATGGCTAAAAGTTTCTTTTTTACCACATCTGTGTGCTCTTCATCTCGGGTTTTCAGGCGACTCAGAACAGGGCTCGCCACCGCCGCTGTCCCGTTGGTGAGCCGTTGCCCGATGGCTGACGGGTCAATGTCTTCCAGGCTGCTGGCATTGACAGTGATCTCCACACCCTGAAAAACAAAGATGAAAGAAGTTGGAAACAGATTAATTTAGTTATTTTTAAATAAACAAGCTGTTGGCTTTAACCATTTTGTTTGTTGTTTTACTCTTTTGTCATTTTCCTCCATATGTTAAAAAATATAAAAACGTTCTGCCTTTTGTAATGGCTATTCTAAATATTTTCTTCACATAATTATGAGCTCAAATGTATAATTTAACAAAGAAGAGTCCCTAGTTTTATTTAATGTAACAATTTCATTTACTTTAAGATAGATTGTTAATTTTTGTCCATTTACTATTAAATTGATTCTTCATCTGAAGGTAAAGCTCACAAAGTAAAGACTGGATTTTATGAAAACAAACAAAAAAAACAAAAACAAAACATGTATTGTTCAAATAAAGTAGGCCTATTCTTAACATAACAGCTACTTATAAGGGCTAAGATAGTAAAGCTGACAATAAAAAAGCTACCCAATTTAAAAGCAACTGAAATAGAAAACCTTTAAAAATACAACTTCACAAATAATGATAGTCAATATAACAGCTTCTACGACTAATGCTAACGCATGTGCAAGAGGCAGCAGAAGCAGCTAGATTACATGCAAAGTAAATGCTTGACGTGTATCAAGGGGCAGCAAAAGGTCCTGTAGCGCGTTTTGAGAAGCAGGAGCAGTGCGTCTGAGCAGCTAAGGCAGCACATCAAGAGATTCTGAGCATCTGACGCACGCAACGAGCTGCTAAAGCAGCAGCTGCTGGAGTTGGAAGGATTTAAGTTTTGCTGCTTGAAGCATCATATCAACCAATCAGAGAAGCTGGGAGCTGGCAGAGAGACAGACACAGCACTGCTGATGCAGATCGCTATGATCGCTCCATTGAAACAGTTTATTAACGCCTAATTTAACTTAAAATGTCAAAATCTGCCAGCAAAATATGTTCGGTTTTGTTATTCTGGTGCCTGCAGTTTGGATTACGTACATGAAAACTGCTAACATCTTCTTCAAGCCGCTACGAACAGCAGCGGAAATTCCCCAAGAATAGAAATTTTTATTCCAAACAAAAAGAAAATTAAACACAATCCACTGGTCTTAATTTCCAAGTTTGAAGGTGTTTTTGAATTCAAAATTTAATCGAGGTTTAGCTCGAACTCAACGCTATTCGCGACATTTTGAATTGAAAAAGTTTCCGGGGTGGGAAGCGAAACTTCTTCAAACTTGGAAACCAAGTCCAGTGGATTGTTTTAAATTTTCTTTTATTGTAATGACTATAACCAGGATGAGTGAGAACCTGTTGAAGGGGATTCCCAGTGACAGCTTACCTTCAGAGTACAGGGGGTCCGAGTGGCGAAATAATACTTGAAGGCAGGATCGTAATCTGGCCCTCAATGGACAAAGGACATTATTTTGAGGACCAGAATGTTCGCATTGTGGACAAAGAAAATAGTTGCTTTGAGAGGGGCGTTATGTTAACAGAGGGGCTGGACTCAGATTTCAGCTCTCAAAAACCTACAATGCAACAATTGAGGATAAGAGCTGCATAAGCCCATCATTTCTCAGGAAAGTTAATTTCTTTTGAAACGGATAGCTACTAAAGATACCACCTACTCAAATTCATGCTAACATCGCTAATAAATGGTACTCAGGCTAACTGCAATTTGGAGTCAAGATAGCTGCTACTTAATTGACAGTTATCAAAGCTAATAGATACTCAGTCCAGCAACTATCAAGTTAAGCTAACAGCTACTAATGCTAACAATTACTTAAGCTAACAAAATGCAAAGTTCATTAATTTACCATGATTAATATGCATAGACTATCACTGCACAATGGGACTACACTTACTATGGGCTATAATGGGGCTGGCATATCCTATCAATAGGTGCGTTCCCATTAACCATCAAATTGTGCAAATTGTAATTACGAAAAACAAATTTCATGGTTTATCTAGGCCTGTTGGCTTAACAACAAAGAATTGCTTGGAAAACTGATGTGAAATAGATTTATGTTTAGCTTGCTCAAAAGTCGAGGTAATTTCAGGTGACACATGCCTGCTTATAACGGTTCCACATAACCCCGAGTCAGTAAAGAGAACATACCTTTGGTCAAATTACTTATGCTGTAAAAACCGTCTGCTTTACAGTTGTCATCTGCAGTGATGCAACCACAGAAAACCTGATAGAGATGTCAGACAACAGCTAGAATGTGTTGTTTTAAATTATCATGGCTGTATCAGAGCTGATGACTGGCAATCAAATTATTCTTGGACTTTTTGGAGCTGCATGAAAGTAATCCAAGCTTCTGCAATGCCCTCTAGAGCGACAGAAATACAATATGGACGTCCCTAAAAGGGCTATTTAAAAACCCTGTTGGTGCGATGAAGTTGGCTCTGTGTGGGAGAGAAAGCTGCCACTTAGAGTAATGACACTCCAGCACACTCTGCTCAGCTGTTAGAAAAAAATATATATAAATAAAACATCACCTCTGCTTTAATCTCCATCTTTTTATGTGCTTTATAAACCCTGAAATACACTCAGCCAGGTGTGCAGGAGCGAAAACACTGCTTTGTATGATTCGCTCCACATCCACACGTCAGCTCTATGCTTTCAGCACCAAGAGATTATTTTAAAAAAGAGATGCAATTTATCACACACACTTGTTCCTCCTCTTTGATCCTCCTACAGGTTTTAATGTGATGAAGCTTTTTTTCCCCCCCCCACTGCCAATGGTTTGATGAAAACATTCAGGTTTTGTCCCACCTAACAGATATTTTGCAAAACCAAAATGTTCTACTTATCTATATAGAACATGTTTGGTGAGCAAAAAAACTCAGATTTTCCAAAGTAAATGTTTCTTTTTAAAAAGTCTTTGTATCATTCTGTGCATTGCCTCTGGCACTAACAAACTCTATGCAGTGACTTTCAAAAGTATTCATATCACTTTAACAGTTTTTTAGCATGTAAACACAAGCTTTAACATATTTTACAGCTATTTTGTTTTAACACAAAGGTGTTAATAAGTGTAATAACTGTAATTGTTAGAATGGAAGATTTTAAAGGAAAGGTAAATTTTTTGATATAGCAAAATTCAGTACAAAGACAATTCAAAGTGCTTTACATGATTTAAACAGTAAATTAGAGGAACAAATAAAAGCAGAATAAAAGCAAGGGAAGATGAAAACCTTGTCAAAACAGGTAGAAAAGCAAATAAAACAATTTCAACTTCAATCTTGATTAACAGTTTAACTTTCACAGTTCTTAACAAATGGGTTTTTAACTTTGCCATAAAAGAACTCAGGCTTTTAGCACTTTTACAGTTATCTGGAAGATTGGTCCAGATAAGCGGAGCATAGGAACTAAATGCTGCTTCTCCATGGTTGATTGACACACTGTCAGCAAATCTGTTATGTATTGAGGTGCTGATCCATTCAGTGATTTATAGCAGAAGCTAGCAGAAGGATTTTCAAGTCCATTTTCTGAGCTACAGAGAGCCTGTGAAAGGACTTCAGAACCGGGCTGATGTGCTCTACTTTCTTAGGTCTAGTGAAAACACAGGCAGCAGAGTTTTGGATCAGCTGCAGCTGTCTGATGGACTTTTTTAGGCAAACTATGAAGACACTATTGCACTAATTATTTCTACTAAAGATGAGTTTAAAAATGAGTTTTTCTAGATCCTGCTTGGACATTAGTCCTTTATTCCTGGAAATATTCTTAAGCTGATAACGAGCTAACTTAGTAACTGCCATTATGTGCCTCTAAAGGTTCAGGATCAGAATTACTTATTTTCTTGCAGTGCACTCGTTTACAGACTAGAGATAAATAAAATTGTGAGTTAAATATACTATAAAAAGACAGAATAAAATAAGTAAAATTAGAACCCACACATTAAGAATAAAGCTACTCGTGTTATACGGAGGTTCTCACCTGAAAGAAGTCTGCAATGGTTGCAACGTGACTGGCACAAGCGCACTTCCTGGCATCTGGAACATCTTCTCCCACCTGTCACAGAAACAAAACATAAGATTAAGCTTTAAACAGATATAACACAGAAAAGATTAGATAACACCTCGGAGGAAGTGTATGTTGGTCCTGAAGCAAATATCGAAATCTTTCAACTCCTTCATAAGTAAGCAGCTAATTCAAACAAGACTAAAGAAGATGCAAAGAGAGATAAGCCTGGATAGAATCAATTCTAGATCCCTTTTTATTTACTGATTATTGCTAAAATTCTAAAAAAGTGTCCCACTAATCCTTTGAACATGAACATACTTAACCACTTGTCAAAATAAAGGGAACATTCAAATAAACACATCCTAGATCTGAATACTTTGTTCTTTGTAAAGATGAATGAAATGTGGCGCATACTTATTCCCAGAGAGTTCAAATAAGAGATTAAATTGAAAAATACAAGCTTCCTCAGAGGACTGCCCCTTACATAATGTTGAATTTATATAACAAATAAGAATTTGATTGAAAAGCCAGAGAACTAGAAAATGCTTGTTGATAGTTGCTATGGTGATTTCCACCTTTAACAGGAAGTCGTCACATGGTTACAGCCTAATGTCCAGAGGCTAGTTGTCCCATTAATTTGCCTTAGCCTGAACCCTTCTCTCTCTTCTCATATTGCCTGTCAATTAACCATTTAATAAACCTGTCCAAACAATTCTTCATGTTTGCAGTTTTCTTTTGGCGATATAGCAGTAGGTCCCTACTACAGTGGAAGGGGAAGTTATATTCAAGATATTTTTCACAGTCTGAGAAACTTCTCAGGAAACCTCTGATAAAATAATGGAAAACTTATATAATGTTAATGTAAATCCCAATGGTGAAATGCACTCTCTGCATTTAACCCATCCCCTGGGGGGCAGTCTGGGGTTAAGGGTCTTGCTCAAGGACCCAGAGTGGAAGAATGAGTGGGACTAGAACTCGGAACCTCCGGGACGCAATCGCAATGCTCTAACCACCAGGCCAACCTCACCTCTATATATATCATAAGACAAAGCATCAAACAATAGAAAGCACATTGGTGAAGTATGGAAAACAAAGCCTCCATTTTGGCCCGGACTCATTCGACTTTCCTTATCTAAGGCACACAGACCATTACTTCCTTAATTCTGAAACTTTATCAGGTACATCTATTCAAAATCTAGTTAATTGACAGAAATTCTGTGAATTTAGAAATCCAAACATTTAAATCCAGCTTCAGAATAAGGAAGAAAGAGTTTTTAGTTAACTTTGTAACTGGCTGCTCTGACTATTCCAGACAATCAGACTAATGATGAAAGGTCTGAGTGGCCACCGTGTGCAAGTGCTTCAGGCCTAATGTTCCAGCAGTCAAAGAGACACGCACCTCTTGGGGAATAAAGGCCGATAAATCATCATCAGATCAGTTCTATTGCTGAAGAATTTAAGAATGACACCAGCGGCTGTCCAACAGTAGATCCATTTTTGGAAAGTTTATTCCATAAAATCTGAAATTTTGGACCTAAAAATAGGATCTGCCGTTTACTGACATGTACTTTTTCAAGGTCCTAAGTACAGTCAAAGGATAAGATTTTGGAAATCTTCTCTGAGAAACAACAGAAGACCATCAGTTGCTTTTTAACTGAGCACAGGAGTGTCATAATCAGAAAACATATACAGTTCTTTTTCTAAATCATTTAATAATTCAGTTAGGATATAATTTTTTTTCAAATTTAGTCTTTGGTTTCATTTTTAGTGACCACACTTAACAGCAGCTTGTTCCTCATTTGGTACTTTTGATCATCTGGCTCTGTTCAGTTACTGAAATATTTTTCATAATGACAGACTGAAAATACTTCACTAATCACAACTCATTCATACCAATACAAAGCAAACTCAGTAAGCACCAATTAGACAGGAAAATAGGCTCATCTCATCTGCATTTACAACAGTTTATCTAAATTTCATCTCTTTCCAAGCTGCAATCAAGCAAAAATACAGCTGGAAAGTTTAATTTAGGAACTTTAATTCCTACTTTTTGGCCCGGTTCAGACCGGCTGAGCTCATTATAGTCCAGTCTGTTGCTCTTATGCCTGTTTCTGTTGTTTGATTATAAAAAAAAACACCAGTGGCTGTGATCCCAGCCTCTATTAACCACCAAATGTCTTCCTGTCTGACTCTTTCAATCACTATTTGCTGCATTAATGAATGGATCTCTGGGTGGAATTTTTCCACTCACCTCTGCAGCTTTGGTCCTGGGAACCGATTCAAAAAAACAGGCAGTAATTAAGCATGAGCTTTCTTTCTTTCACAGTCGTTCAGCACTCTGCCATTATGTACTTGCTAAGCGAGCCCCTGCTGCTGTCAGGTTCACAAAGTAAAACATTCATCTTGAGGCTCTCAGATGGAGTCCGACTGCGTTCAAATGCTCTTAACGAGCTTTGTCGGAGACCCTCGATGAGAACGAATGAGCTTAACTTACTAATTATTAATTTCTTTCTCCTTTATTCGTCTATATTATGTATTTTCTTTGCCAAGTTACATTTGAGCTTGTTCTTTCAATTTCGTCTAATCTTTAAAGGCTAAATTAATCCACAATATCAGACATGTTTTCTCACATATTCTCTCATCTGGATCAAACTGTATACTTTCTGGATGTTTGGCATATTGTTCCCAATAATTCAATCAATCTATAACACATCCCAAAGTAGCATAGTAACTAGCAGATAATCCCCAAAAACAAAACCAGTTTTACTCATGGTTACTACGATAAACAAAGCAACAAAAAGACAAGCAACCTGCAGTACACATAATGTTTCCGGTTGTACAGTTTTGCTAAAGTAAATTCATGTTTTTTACAGTGGCTGAGGTCATATTTTTATCATTGTCAAGCCTCATCTGGCTCTAAAAGAAATCCCATCTGGTTCATAAAATACAAATTTATTAATGAGCTTCACTGAATTCAATGCTTAGTGTTTCTGATTACCTGATCCTGTTCTGCCTCTCAACCACTGAGCCTGCCTGTTCCCATCTGATTTGTTGCCTGACCTGTTTTTGGACTCTTGCTTGTCTGCTAACCAACCTTGGTCCTGTTTTCTGTCATCCACCTGGATTTCCCTTCGGAACCTCTTCGGACTTCTGGTCTCCTGGTTCTGAATCCTGAGCACCTCCTTGACACTGGCTTTACCTTCACCCTCTGGATTATCCTGCCCTCGTTTGTCTGCTCGGATCTGGTCTCCTGTTTGTTCTCCATCCTCTGGGGCTGCAGCTTCTGGGACATTCTGGGTGGCGCCTGCTGCATCTTGTTGGCAGCCCACAAGCCCACTGATCACACCTCGTTCTTTGGGCTTGGACTGAACTAGTAAGCCAGGTTAGTGACTGACATTCATAATCTTCCTCCCCCAGATTTATGTGGTCACTAACCTGTGTTTCCTTTCTGCAGAGGTTGCTGCGATAGTCGCCCTAGAAACTGCTACTGCAGATCCATAAATGCTTTTTGAATTACTGTCTCTCTTGCCTTGAATACTTGGTCCTCTGTTTTGAGCCGTGGCAGATGCATTTTGTATTTATCAGCTCTTTATAAATGTTTTGTTTTAAGTTAAGGGGGCAGATAAGATAAAATTGTTCTATTGCTCTTTTTCCTTCAGGAGATTACAATGCTTTGTGAATAATTATTTTGTTTGAGCACAATTAATAAAATGTAATAAAAGGTGCTGATCCCTGTTAAGTATGAGTGAAGCTATTCATTTGCTGTGTTTGTAGTGAAATAAAAATCTATAGTAGTTGCTGTAGCACCTATGATCTTGAGATGCCTCTTTATTACACTTTTTACTTTCCTTCTGTTGGGAGCTGGAGAAAATCCCATCTTTCTCCAGCAGAGTCCGCCGTGGATCCTCTGAGGGAGCCTCCTGCACAGGTGCAGCTCATCAAGACCAACAGAAAACCCACTACTTAAGCTGTCTTCAGACCTTGCCTCAACGCCGCAGTGTTGTTCCAGTTGGTCAGCGCTAAAGCCTTGCTCCTTGTGAATCTCCATGACTTTGAATCCAGATTGGATTCTAACTTCTCTCTCTGTGTTCCCAGGAAACCCGAGTCTCCTCTGTGAAAGCTCTAGGAGAGCTAACCTGCCGAGCCGACCCTCTGAGCCAAACCCTGAAGACTTTCTGAGAACCCCCAAGCAGCTCAGGACTAGAGCTGGAAAAACCAAACCAAGGTCTGTACGAGCTAGACGTGAGACGCTGAAGCAGCTACGGACTCTGCTGATAAACTCTTCTCCAGAACCAACAGAAACTCCCCCAAGGAGAATAACTCAAGAACCCTCAAGGTACTATCTGAGCCCACTTGAAAACCAAACCCTGCCAGCAGTACATAACAGCTCTGTCTCTCACGCAGACTCCAGTGAAACCAGGACCCAGGCCCGAACCAGATTCCAGTACACTCTGTGTTTGTGCTTAAATAAACTGTTAACTTTTATCCTCGTGTCCGCCTTGTGGTGTTCTGCATAACTGGGTCTCCATTTGAGAACCCATCATGACACCTTCCCTCTCCTTCTTTCTCTCCCCTGAAACAGCGACTCACCCAGTTGATGAGGATGTATCGTGGCAGGGCGGCAGTGGGCTCCTTCAGGCTGCAGAAGCCATACATCACTTTCCCGTGGTCGAAGGTCAAGGTGATCTCTGCCAGGCCTCCTCCTGTGGGCAAAGCGGCACATGTTTTACTGCTGAAAAACTAAGGGCTTTGGTCTTCCTAGCCTAACCTCATCAAAAAAGCCTGTTTGTGCTTTCTAACCCATATTAACCATAATGTTTGTCTACAGCTCTTTATAAAAAAATCCCATTTTGAAGGAAAAAACCTAGAATGTGTGCAAGACACACCTCTACAGAAGATCCTACAAACATATGTAACAAAAAAAAAAATAAAAAATTATGAGTTAGAACATTTAATTTTCCTTTTGGATCAATAAAGATTTTCTTAAGGGAATTGAATTCAAAATGTGCAACATAATGAAACAGAAAAAATAAAGATCTAAATACTTTAAAGTGCTTCTGCGTTGTCAGTATAGTACCTTGCAAGAAGCTGGCCGTGCTTCTTAAAAACACGTTACCTCTGTGGGATTTAAAGTGATTGTTCATAACAAAATTGTGCCAAATTGTGCAATTGGAAGTATTTGATATATAAAAACGGCATAAATACAACCGTTCTGAAAAAATCAATTACCAACAGATAAACTGAAAGGGTGGGCATGGGATTCATTATTCAGAGAAGCAGGCAGGAGGCCCATTGGACTTTCAAGGAGCTGCAAAGATCCACAGCTCAGGTGGGAGAAAACCCTGAAAAGACAACTTTTCTACATTAATTTCAGAAATGCAGCCTTCATAGAAGAGTGGGAAGAAGACATCCTAAACCAGCCTTTTAGCTATCCTGCAGCAGGCTAAATGTGGTGTAAGCAGATGTTTGATCTTCCTGGTTTCGGTTCAGGTGGAGGAGTCCTGCTAAACGTTACAGTGGTAATTTGTTTACCAGGATCTCAACACCCCAGCCACAGACACAGTGTACAGCAAACAATCCTTACTGCAAATAAGAATAATGGGAGGAAAGTCCTTCCTACAGATGCTCTGACCAGACAGAGAGGCTCCAATGTGCAGCATAAACAAGGAGAGGCAAAGATTGGAGGAAACCTTTAGAGAACCCTCAAAGAATTCCTGTTTGCCCACATATAAGAGACCCAGAGCAAAAGGTAAAAGAGCATTAAAACCATAGCTGTGGTCTTCACTGGGGAATTTGTGATGCAATTTTTTTCCCTTCTTCGTTTTCTTCTCTTTCTGTTGTGTGTTTGGGTGCCGCCTGAAGATGTGTCTCATGAAGAATTGGTCTTTTCAGTGATAAATATGAAGACAAAACTAAAATCTTAGTAATCCGATGGCTTATTAAGACAGGAAAAGGGAAAATTTACAATTTATCCAATTAATTAAATGTAAAATTGTATAAAGATCGAAATTAATTAGTCTTTTAATTACTTATGACTGCAATAATTCTATTAAGTTGGAATAAATTTTAATAAAATTTGGCTTTACCTTAAAATGAAATATTTAAACTACAAACATGAATATTTACATGTTTTCATTCATTTATTTATAGGATTTTTAACTATCTGATAGCATCATGAAGCAAGCAGGAGGTTGTTCTAGATTAAAGTAATCAGAGCTGCCTTCAGTCTGGGACCGAAACAATTAATCGGATTAATCATGATTAATTGATTATTAAAATAATCGTCCAATAATTAAAAGGAGACTGTAAAACATGCCTTTAGCTGACAGAGTAACACAATTAGAGCAGTAATTATATCAAACTTGTAAAATAATATGTAAACATTTTGCATTTAAGATAGGGTTGCACGATATTGGGATTTTGGCCGATATCCAATATGCCGATATTTTAAAACTCATGTAGCCGATAACCGATACCGATGTTAAAGCTGGACAAAAATA